CCCAAATAACAACGAACTTGCTCACATCGTATTTATGGCTAGAAAGTCTTGTGATGCAGTTGTGGTTGTCACCGTTGTTGTCATTGTTGTTGTCATAGTTGTTGTTTTTGTTGTTGTTGTGCTAATGTTTTGCCAAACTGACCGTCCATTTAAACGTTGTTGTTTGTGGTAGCGTCATGAAAGATTGACATGGCTTTGAGACACTTGCCAAGAGGCCAAAACTTTGGCACAGTGACACCAAATGCAAAAGCATAAACAACATTTATACAAGCTTCATGAAAAGCGTTTCAATGAACAATTCCCAGTTTATATATATCAAATAAATGTTTGCAGAATATCAGTAAGATTCAGCATTTCTTTTTAGAAATCTTTTCTATGTTCTAAAATGCAGGTCGATTTTATTTCTGAGTGTATCTCTTTGGTGAATGCTTAAAACTTTGCCTCCTGCTCCATATATATTTACCCTCATCACCATAAATATTAGATTTAATATTTTAGATACAGTAAACACTGACTTTGCCACAATGTGCGGTGGTCAGAACAATTTTAAATGCTGCTCATTTTTCAAAGTTGCGGCCTCTTTGCCCCAATACATTGCTATAAAAGTGTTGAATGTATGTGTGTGCGTTGTGGCTGTGTGAGTGTTTTTAATAGCCAGAAGGGTTAAAAATTTAATGGAAAAACGTTTTAATAAATCAGTTAAGTGGTCTTGCCGCTTTTTTGCGGCTAATTACACGCATTAGTGTTGGCCAAGAGCCAAGCCAGATATCCCTGTCCGCTGCTGTCCCGTTGTCCCCATCCCATCCACCATCAACCTTCCCTCCTCCTCGTGTTAACAGTAGCAAATCTTGGCCAACATCTGCTTGCTCCTTGCAGCCCCATTGGCGTAATTTAACAATTAAAAGCGATTAACGTGCTACTTCAGCTACTTAACGTCTTTCAAGATCAACATTTTTTTTATACAACAAGTCCAGCAACCGTCGCCAGTTAAAGATTATATCTGGCTTCAGCTTTTTCCTGTTAGTCATCAAATTTTATGCTGATTATTGAATACATGCAAAAGATCTAAAATTTCGAGTGGAAATTTACTATCCACAGCCGTTAGACTTCGGACTTTAGACGCTTTGATAATCGTTAATTCTTGGTCGAGTTTTTAGAGTTTGCAAATTGGTAAGCTGTTTAATTAGTCCGGAAGTAATAAGAGTGGAAAAGCAGACAACATTCACAAGACAAGAGTTGGGAGACTCTTAAAGATCAGTTAAAATGAGTAAACGATTTATTCAAATCCAATTGAGAAGTGAACTCTTTGATCCTTAAATAAATTGCTTTCAATAAAAGTAAGCAAATTTATGTTGATTAAAAGCACTTTTTATCGCAATTCGCTTGAGAGTTATGAGCAGGTTAATAGAGTTTTAAGAGCCATGCAGAATTTCGGTAATGGCCAGTGCATTTTGGCCAAGTTTCGCTCGTGCTGGCAGTATGTGAAAGGCGACAGCGGCCTGCGGTTCTGGAGTGAATGCCTTGCACCAGTTTATGTGGGTTAACTGGGCCGCCCATAAATTGGTAACAGCATTGCATAGAGCTGCAGAGGGGTATATGTCCGAATATATATATATATATCGCAGTGTATAACTTTCTAAACCGCGCCTTCAAAAGCGCTGGCATTGAAGCATTTTCGCCTTTTCACCAGCTGGCCCGAAAGTCTTTCTTCAATCTGGTCTATATGACACTTGACCACAAAAATGGACAATGAACTGCATTTATGTGGCCGGTTCGCTTTGAGCTGTTTGTTGTTGCCTTTTCTCACTTGCCACAATGCAAATTGTTACAAATTAACCTCTCGTCTCAATTCGTTTCGTTTCGTTTGGTTTGGTTTGGTTTAGTTTGCTTTGGTTTGGTTTGGCTTGGCTTTTCGTAACGACTTCCGCTGGTTGTGCTGTTAACCCATTGTTGGCCTGGCCGGAAGCCCAACTGCCGTTTCGAGAGCGAAAGTTGTGAAATCCGCCAACGAAAAGCAAGTGCAAAGCTGAGAAGTGTTTAACGATCAGATCAGATTTTGGCTTGGCCAAAATGGGAAACTCGTGTAACTCTTTAGCGCCAAGTGTGTGTTGTTTGCTTTTGTTTTTCTTTACGAGCCTTAAGTAAGCCATGTTCTGGACAGGTGGAAATGCACAATGTATGTATGTATGCATATATCGTCCATAAATTTCTTACCCATTCCGCTCGCTTTTCGGCTTATTTGTGCGTTAAAGGTTATAACACCGAGCAAGGCTTTATGCGCTGCTTGCGCCAAAGTAAATATGAGAGCAAATACATTTTAATGGCATTCCATTTATATGTATATTTACAAATGCTGCGAGGCAAACGCCAAATGCAAACCTAACAAAACAAAACCCAGCATACCAAAAACAAATCAACAAAAATGCTAAAATGCCACGCATGGGAGTTGCGAAGAAATACACACACACACACGCACAACCAAAAAAAAAGGTCTTTTGATGTCCGCCAAGTGGTTGGATATGTTGGACACAGGACTAGTCACAGCTAGTTTTCCTCATCATCATCTTCATGCTCTTTGGGAATATTTGTAGCAGTGCTTTTTTCGCTGAATGTAATAATGACGTTGAGGGACATCGACCACACACGTCTCTGCCAATGCCAAAGTCAAAGCCAAAGCCAAAGGGCCGCAGTTCGATTTTTCATTTGACAATGAAGGCAACGCCCACACCATAAATGTCCCTACAACTGTCTAGTGTATTTATATATACATATATATATATATATGTCTGTCTATATATGTGTGTGTGCGTGTGCCCTGGTCTGATCTACTCTGCTCCCTAGGCGCTAAAATCTCCGCAACGAACTTGAAACTTTTTGCCCAGACTCAGACTACAAACTGACAATTGTATCGCGATTCACCGCCAGGCAAAAATGCGGCAATGCAAAAAATTGACTTTAGTTGATATAATGAGAGGGCTGGGCACTAGCAGCTCCAGCTCCAGCTCCAGCTCGAGACAACAACTACAACCAGCAACATCGACTGCATAGACAAACAGGCGACGCCGAACGGCACCCTTTAATTGGCCCAATAGCAGCAATAACTCAATTTCTTATCAATAACAGCAGCGACAACGACAACAGCCAACAGCCAGGCGATAATTGTATTCATTTCAAAACAAGCCAGGCTATAATTACAAGCCGCACACGTCTCACTGCAATTATGCGACCTATTCATACACTGCCAAGCCAACAATTAAAAACTATTGGCTTTATTTGAGCAAATTCGTTTTTAATTGTGCAGTCATCAGAGAGATTTTATTTATTATTTCTCTTAAGAAGAAAATCAGTTTGTTGCTTAAAACTGCAATCAGCCAAGAAAAAATTCTTTAACTTTTATTTCGCTTTTACAAACAGAAAAAGAGTTGCAAAAACAGCTGAAGCTTCTCAGGGACTTGGACAAGTTTTGCTTGACTTTCGCTTTGGAATATATATTGAAAAGTTAGAGTATTAACAAGTGATTGAAATTAACGCCTGCAGTTTGAGCTTAACGAAAGACGAAAGTAGTTTTGGCATTAGACTGGCATTGGGAGATGGTATTGGGGTGCGTTCTGAATGTGGAGTGTGTCACTGTCATCTTGGCTCGATTGGGGCTAAAAGGTAAAAGGTGAAGCTACGTGACCAAGTGACAAATTGGTGGCAACTGTAAGTGCAACTGTAACAGTAACTGTAACTGTAACGACAGCAACTGCAATTGCCAAGCGATGAACTTGCGAAGATATTCGAGTGCGGTGCATGCGGCATGCAAAAATTGTGCATGTCACGGCGGTGCGTCGGCATCACGACATTGGTGCAGTGGTGCAATGAACTGCGAATTCCAATTCTGATTCGATTGTGCTCCACCCACATCACAATAAAACCCAGCGTAAATAAATTATGCAGCGCTCCTACAACACATTAAATGGCAAGCAAAAAATAAAAACATAAAAAAACCCAAGAATGGACAGCTTTTGAGGCAAGCCGAAGATAAAATACCCTTGCCCACATTTACAGCTCACCCAATTGGTCTTGTGGCAGCTATATAATATATAGTGGTCCCATGTTGATCAACTTTGGCTGGGTTAGAAAGCTCATCAATGGTACGCTTGCTCTGGATATCTTATCACAGTTTTTATCTATGGATACACATCTCAGCTGATATATATCTTATCAATGATAACAAGCGGATATTGCTGATTGCTTATGTCTCTTAAAGCACACACCTACGCCCAGCAAGCGAATAGCCTCTACAAGGGTATTCAAAATAATTCTGACACTTAAGTTGCAACGTGTTCGAGATTATGCGGCAAGCAACGATTATTGGCTGGTCGAATCGGGCCTGCGACTTAATCCGTTCCTTGTTCGCTTACCGTCATATTTGATGTTCATATGTACATATTTATATATCTATATATATACATATGTATACATATATACAGTTCTTTGTGCTGACTGAAACAGACACGCCCATTCACCCGGTCAGAAGTACTCGAAAATAAATAAACAACATTCTCGAACGCTTCCTCTCAGCACTTCAGCTCTTAAATAGCAGCGACTCGAGTCATGTACATAACACACTTAAGTCCAGTTATAGCTGAAGTTTCTACATATGTACATATATATTCTATTGTTAAAATAAAATTAAAACCAAATGTTAACGTCATCAAATTGCTCAGCTTTGGCGCCAATGCAATAACAAAATTTTAATCGCATTGCTTGTTAGTTTTACTTTGGATTCTAAACTTTGAATTCGACAAAACACACACACATCCACATTAATTTATATATGTACATATACAAAGACTTGCCCATAAAACGCAGTCATAACTTTTGCACACTAATTAAAAGTTAAGAACTGTCTACTAATTTGCCAGCCAGCTAATTGCAACAAATCTGAGCGTTTTTCGTGTTTTTTGTTATTGTGTTTTCATGTTTCTGTCGGTTTTTGATTGTTCTTTTTTCAGGCAGACGTAGCAGCATCCGTGGGACTTTCTAGAGACAACAACCACATAAACAGTCCACAGAGATACTAAAAACTGAAACCAGCAGCAAACAGCTAACAAAGGGGCAGGAAGCGGTGTCAGGAGATCTAAAACAAAATGCACGAGAGACGCGTCAAGAAGTGAGTCTAAATTAATCGTAAACCAAACTTCCTTCAGCTTGTCGAACTTTTAATACACCTGCCGAAATGCGATACTCTATAGACAATATACAATAAATGTATATTTCTTCAATGACCAAAGAATTACTAAGCCAAAACAGAAAATAGATGTCAGAGACTATAACCGATAGAGACTTCAAATTTGGTATGAAATTCTCGTATATTGCAAGCAGATCAAGCTTATTTCATTTTATCGATAACTGCCTCCGCTTGGCTAGTATCGATACATTTCAATTACATGTATATCTATTATAGATACATGATATATTATTGATGAACTGATAAATTCCAAAATGTATTCTATATTGATTTCATTACTATCATCTTCTAAATACATCTGGGCTCAAAGGATACTTACTTGTGCATCCCGTACAAGTTGCTCTAAAATTGGTACTTTTCAATATCCAAATCCAAATGAACATCCTCATTCAATTCTGATCGTCAAGAAAGCATTCAACAGTTGAAACAACTATAATTTATAGTATGAGAGTGTCAAAATCGATAAGCTCATTTCAAGGCTAGAATTGGCAACTATATATTACCATATAAAAGTGTGTTAACTCTCAATAATTGCTCGACAGATTGAAGAGCGGGCATTATGTGGCGACGCATGGACGCCTCACACCCGATCCGCCATATGTGCACTCGAATCGGGGCTATTCAACGGATGGCGACGATTCGCATTCGCATCGGGCGCACTCGGAATATACGCTGGCCAACGAGCGCATCTCGCCGCAGTCGCAGGGTCATTACAACTCATCGAGGAAGGGGCAGGGCCGCACTGGGAATGGATTGGGGAATGGGGTAAGGGTAAGACACCATCAGCATCAGCACCTGCAGCACAGCTATAGCCACAGTCAGATGGGTTTGTCCAGTTCACCGGACAATGGGGGACCCAGGCCGCTAAATGGACCGCCACCCACACGTCAACCGCCTCGTGCTCCGTCAGCGTTGAGCTACGATCAGGCCGGGGATGCGGGCAGCGATATCTATGTGACCAGTGCCGCCTACAAAGCGCCCTCCGAGATCAGGCAAGTCCCAAAAAGAAGACGAAACCAAATTTCTAACTGTCTGAGTCTTGCAGTCGCTACAGCCATCGTCCCGTGTCGCGGAGTGCACCACGAAGCGTCTATTCGGTGGCAAGCACAGCCAAGACCGGACGCAGTGGACGCTCGACAACGAAACGTGGTGCCAAAATCGAAACGATGTCGGCGCCCAATCCCTTCTGCCCCAACGTGAAGGGTGTCTGCTGCCTGATGCTGCTGCTCAACTTGGGTCTAATACTTGTCACCCTCGGCTTTGTGATTGTGGTGCAGTTCTACGAGCCCGTCTACGTTTGGTAAGTGTTTCATCTCCAATAAAAAACACAATCTGATCATTTTTGGTATATCGATTGCAGGGTCTTGGGCGTTATATTTCTGATATTTGGCTTCCTCACGCTGATCGGCTGCATGATCTACTGTGTGTATGTGTGCCGGGATGCGAAGACGCCGTCGCAGGTGCGCAACGAGGACTTGTATTGGACGCGACACTGGCAAAAGAACATCGGCTATACGCCGCAGGAGATCAACTACAAGGCGGACAAATATGATGCATACTCCGATCGCTACTCGGTCAGCAAGCTGAGTGGCAAGTATTCGGATCGCGAGAGTCAACGCTACTGAAAGCCGTAGACAGGCTTCACTCACACTTAACTAACTTTACCCAGGCGAAGCGAGGGTCGTCCGATAAGTTGTTGGCAAAGAATGCTCATCTCAATATGAGTGAAGTATCTCAAAACGCGTTGACATCCAATTACTTATTGGTCAGCCCTCGCACACACACACACACACCGACGTGCATATATACATATATTATTATATAACGTGTAATAACTAGAGCATAGTCTTTAAACGGTTTTTATTAACAAGGCCCTCAACACGTACCTGCTGCAAGTTGCTTGCTAGTTTGTACTGTTCTTTAAATCATAAACGCAATTAAGTGAGACAGAGACAGAGATAGAGAGCGAGAGAGAGAGAGAGAGAGTAAATACAAATTGTGTATTGGAATGCTGCCATATATGTGTGAGAAGACAGTTATATTTTGTTGTTGTTTGTGGCTAATCAGCGAACGTTTACTTAAATTCTAACTGAAAATCAAATCATCAAAAACAAAAAAAAAAATATTTAAAAAAAAAACAAAAATAAAAAACACATAATAAAGTGTAACAAAATGTAACAGAATCCAGAAATTGTGTTTCACTAACTGTTAAGCTAAACACCAAATATATCAAATAGATCGTCATCCGTTAAACAATCGGCATTACGGCATCGAATTAACTGCCTCAGCATCCGATTGATGATCCTAATATAATCGCGTCTGGTTTCCTCGCTGATTTTCTCGAAATGATTGGGGAAAATGGGCAATCGTTTTCCAACCAGGCTGTGCTGCAGTATCACCAGCATCTATCAGATATATTATCGTTAATTATTATACGTGTGTGGAAGAGTGTTTCCAGCTTACCCGTATGAGGATGCGACCAGGTGCTTGATTCCAATTAATAGAATTTCCCTGCACCTTGTATAGGTAGATGATCTTGAGGAAATAGATGACCAGGGCCCCCATTTCCTGTGCATCGCGAAGTGCCAGCATCAGGCGCAATGAGTCCTTCAGATTCTGTTTCTTGTGCAGCACCAGCTGTTCCCAGCTCGGGACGACCAACATAAAGGATCGCTCATCCTGCTCGTCCGAATGTTCCTTGAAGTACTTGCGTGGCACTGCAATCCAATTCCGTTCGGAATTCTTTGGTATCTTCAAGCCTGGGATCCACTGCGACGCCTGGAACTCAAAGACGGGCACAAAATCGAAACTGATCCGGCGACGAGTATCGTTATGATCGATGGCCAGCAGGGTGTGCCCGACGCCATTGTCATGTGAGGTATATTCCAAGTCATAGATGTGACGGCGGCTGCAGCGTATACGCTGTAATCGGGGCATAACTGCGGTGATGTGGCGAAACAACCAAGACCGCATCGCCAGGCGACTAACAAATCTGCCTTCGTTGCCGAATTGGCGAACACAGGGATGAAGCGAGCCGCTGGCGCTCAAGAAAATGAAGCCTGTACGATTTGGCACAAGGATGGGTTTGAGTGCACAGCAGGATAAACGGATAACCACAAACATATCGAACTCTTCGGGCAGGTCGATCTTAATGCCATCCATATAGCTGCGAGCGAAGCTCATTCCACGGAATGCTTTACGGAAAATGGGATCGGAGTCGGCCATCGCCTCGATAAATGCATTTTTAATGATCTGCGCATCGTGGTTGAAACTGCTTCGCCTATCACTGGGAATTGAGAGTTTCTCCAACGCGTATTCGATGCCCTCGCCATATGTGAAACATATATTCGAATCGCTCATCTTATCTGCCTATTGGTGGGAAGTACAAGAATATACGGACCGTTTTTTCCGCTGTGGCCTCAAAGACGTTATTTCAAAACTTTATATTTCGATTGTAGCGTGTGGTGAATTTCTTTATTGCGTCGTATGTTAAGCGGTGGAGTTTGCTGTTAAGCCAGTTGAGCTCTGTTAACCGGAGGAGCATCGATATGTTTCAGTATTTTTCAGCACTGCTCAGCAGAACTGTTAAGTGGCTGTTATTACTCAAGATGTTATGTTAGCCCGCCCTCACCATTTTGTGCAGCTGTTAACTAATAGTTGCGCTCAAAGAGTGCTCGAGTTCGGAACGGATTGCTTAAATATATTACAAAATAAAAGCCATTGCTGCGTACACCAATCACAGCAAACTTAATTGCATCTTAATTTTGCTCGTTACGGGTATTTGCGTTTTTTAAATGTGTTCTTGAGCGGATGCGTATACCAGAAAATTGGTGCCAAAATAAAAATAAACAATTGTGTTGAAATATATAAAATACCATATTATGTGCATTGCGAGTGTAAATTGAGTGCATTCCTTCTCTCTCCAACTTGTTTTGAGTGAGAACAAGCGAATTGCTGGATAATAAAGGTAAAACTGAGTGCAAATTATATGCCAAAAATATCATACAACGCAAATGCTTCTTCTTTTTCTTGTTGTTTTACGAAAGTTCCAGTTAGCTTTTGGCTTTCGAGTGTCTCTCTGCATATGTATGTATGTGCTCTGTGCACTTGTGTGTGTGAGTTTTGTTTAGGTGTGCGTGTCAATTAACGTTCTTATTTTGAGTGCGAGCGCGTTAAAAAGACAGTTAAACCTGTTTTTTTTGGGATTGCGGTTTGTCGCTTGTCGTTTTCGCTTTGCCTTTGTTGCTGTTGCTTAGCATTCCGCGCCCTCTCGCTCATCGATACAGCGTAGAAAGCGACAAAAATATGCGAATTTTTGAGCTGCAAAAATGGCGACTTTCCTTCTTTTTCAGTCAAAAGAAAACAAACAAAACCCAACTCAGCCTATTAGCCCGCATATATTATGTATAAGAGCGAGAACGAGAGAAAGAGAGCGAGCAGCATCTGTCTCGCATTAACAGCAGCCGCAGGGCACTGTTCATAAACAGAATTCTACAAATTAACTCAATTCGCTGACTGAATGTCTGTTGAAGCCTCTGCATACGTAAATAAACACACACAAGCATACAAAACTCACGGTTTAGTATTTGTGATTGCTCGTCTTTCGTCTCGCTTTAATCATGCATGCAGTTAGAGACAGACATATGTACATACGTATCTACATATGTGTGTGTGCATGTACACACATGTGTTGGGTTTTTGTGTTTCATCTTAACAGCGGGTGAGTAGGCAGGGGATTGCTCTGGGTAGGATTATTAACAGCTGGCTTCTGTGAAGCTGCAACAACAAATTAAACTTTAATTCTGTAATCTGTATTTACTAGCGATTTTCTGTTATTGAAGCTTTAAGCAAAGACACCTATAGGCAAAATATTGATTACACTAACGTAGCTAGTAAATAATATATCTATCTATCAGTCACTTCTAACGCTAACAATTATTATGTCAGTAAATCTCTGACGTAAGCATATTAGAATATATTTTTATAGCAAGACAGGTAATTATTTGCATGAAAATATAAAAGCTTTTTTTCATAGCACTTCAAGTTGCCAATTGTTTCGACAATATTACAATATGTAAATGAGTCTTGCGCTAAACTTGCCACATCACTTAACATCAAAATATTTACAACTGACGACATTGGCAATGGAATTGGGATGGGATTAAAAAGTGCAATGCACTGCACAGCACAAGTTTCTACAGCGGCAATAACACAATGCGCCCCTTCATAATAATACAGACATAAGTCATTATAATTTGCACACCCAAAGCACACCTCATTATAAATTTCGTACTCAGCATTTCGTTCGATGAAGAGTTTTTACACAATTCTCCCAATGCTCTTTTCTTGCACGCGCCTTGATTACCATATTTTATTCAGGCTGTTTGTTTGCCTGATTAAGCACTAACCATGAGCTGATATCGTGCAACGGACTCTTGAAGTACTCAGCATTAATGGTAATGTTAACATGAGACAAAGCCAGCTAGACATGATTTCCATTAGGGACTCTTGGCAACCTGCCAAGTTGTCTGTTCTCTGTCTGATTATGATGCCAACAGCTTTTCAGTATTATTTTCTTTTTTTGTTTTTCATTTATGCCACGTATTGCATAGCTTTTCTCCGCTGCTTGCCTCATTTCACGCTAACTTCCAAATAGCGATTGCATTCCCTGCAAATAGCAACAAAATACTTTTGTTTTGAAAGCGGTTCTCAAATGGTGTCTGATGACGAGTTTGGATATCATTTTACACACTTTCGATGCATTCTGCTGACGTGTGTTTATCACACTGTGTGAGCTGTGTGAGACTTGAAACGTGGACTCAACGTGCAAGTTGCTCTTTGTTTCTTATACAACACACAACTTCAAAATGGACTTGTTTTTGAATTCAGCGAAAAATAATGCTGAATGTTTAGTGAATGTTTATTTTTCCTTTTGTTAAATGATGCAAATAATTGCCGTTTGTTTATCACATTATTTTTCCTATTAATTGTTGACTTATATTTCTGTGTTTGTTTTTTTATATGGCATTAAATTTGCTAACGCGATATGAAGCATTTCTCACTACTTGAAATTTCAAGTCAAATTCAGACTTTGGGTTGTTGTATAAAGTCGCAGTTTGCTTCGCTAACTCAAAGCCCAGGCACGAACTTATAGTACTTTTTGTATATATAAAATTCTTTGTTTATTGACAATCAACTGCGCCATTTTATATATTCCACTGGATATCAGTCATGTACACACTCATATTATAGAGTTTAATCCACTCTCGGAAAAACCGCCCACACACTCAAGATATGCGACATTTTAAAACAAGTCTTAGTACAATATGAACAAAGCACAAAAGTACTGATTTGACCTCAAAGCAATGTAATCTCTTTTCGAGTTGGGAAAGTACCAAAAATTGGGTTGCTTTTGAAACAAATGATATACTCTGTAATCTGTCCTGCAAGCTATGTTCTAACCGATAGTCGAAATCATTTCGATGAACGAATCAAGTATGCCAATTAACTAACGCTAGTTGTGCAAATTATATTATATATAAATATAGATTTGTTTTTGTCTGGGATTAGTCATAATACATCGGCCCTAACAAATTCTGAGAGCTAATCAGTTTTATACTATTAATATAGATGTGAGCTTTAGTAAACAGATCAATTAGTTCATTCCTATCAGAAATGCAATATTTACTGCAAGTGAACCTTAAAATTGTCTGAAAACTTGCGATTATTTTATATATATATATTCATTTGTTTACGTAATAAACTGATAAGTGAGCCGATTCAATGTATGTCCTTAACGCGTTTTCCCGACGATGCGAAACAATCTCTTATCGGATATAAACTTATCATTTTATTAATCGTTCACAATTGTGAATGAATGTAAGCACTACACACATTAATTGCAAAACAAAACCAGATGTGTTTTTCAACTCTTGAATGAATGACTAAGATATTGAAAAACAAAAGACAGATACAGATACAGATGGAAATACATGTGTGAATGCATAGGTGAATAGTTTTTAGCCGGCTACTTATTTGTTCGCTGCGCAATGAGTCATGCGAATCATTTTCATTTAACTTGTAAACTTAACAAATTGTGCGAATAGACATATGTGTTTTATGTACTAATTATATGTATATACACAAACTTTATGTACATATATATGCCTTGAATGGAAACCAGGAAAGCAACTTAATAGTGAACCACAACAACAAAGGCAGACGCTAAATCTTTTTGTACACTGCTGTGCGACTGTGCTGATACCCTCCACTTAGACGGCCAAACCAATTTATGGCCTATTAAAGCCAATGACGGGCACTGTTAGAAATGTTTCAAGTATTTGTTGTTATTATTTAATCAATAATATGCCATAGGTCATTTAGCTGACTCCCTAACCGTAAGACAGTTTATACGCTGAACGCATTGAAAACAGGTTAAAAGGGTATAATGGTCTTGGGAAAAAGTATGTAACAGGCAGAAGGAAGTATCCCCGACTCCATACAGTATATTTCTTTATTTTTGATCAGCCAACGAGTCGATAAAGTCTTGTTAGTAAATATAAAAGCAAGAATTGATCAGAGACTTCTGATATATAATAAACATATAGATATTGATTAACTGGACAAATATCATCAAGATGGCATCAGAAATACGCAAGTTAAGATCTCATTTTCAATATGCATTTGGCAGTTGGGAACAGGGTATATCGTAGTCGAGCTCACTCGACTACAGCGGTCTTACTTGCTTTTTTGTTGTTGTTGTGTGTAAATCAGTTCGTTTATTTGATTTTTTCACACATACATATTTCATATAGTGAGTGGGCCAATTGACGGCAAAGCGTGCGCTGTGGCGTTCATCATTTGCGACAAAGTGTTGTTATTTTATTGTGGTTGTTGTTGCTGCTGTTGTTGGTGCCAATAGTCCATGACCGGATTAGCCATCTCCGGCACGTTTGATACGTAGCTATGCCAACGTGGACACAGATGAAGATACTTGTTCACCCGCTGAGTTAAATTAGTCATTATCAGTGACTGGTTATCTTTTGCCTACTATCAGTCATTAGCCGAGCGAGAGAGAGAGATGGGTAGAAAGTAAGCACAAGATAAACTATTTAACCCAATGATAAAAGTTATGCACACATTTATCTGTGCTGTATCTCTTAATGCTTTTTCTTAACCCAACATTCGCTTTATCGCTTTCGTGTTTGTATTTTATGAACCATTTGCAACTAAATCACAATTTAGGGTCTTTGGTGTATCAGACAGGGTCAATGTCGATTTTGTGTCGTAGGTCGATTCCTGGTCATTAATAGCATTTTCAAGGCTACGGAATTTTCAGCCATTAATTAGCCATTGCTTCTTACCTGGGATATCATTAAGTATTTATCACGTGCACAGCTATATTTTTTCCTTTATCTAGAATACTCATACAACATGGCTTTGTGTACAGTCATATTTAGTTTGTCACGCGATTTGAAACCAACAAAAAAAAAAGCAAATAAACGCAGCTGTCATGCAATAATTTAATACAGATTTTACGGCTGGATTAAGCACTAAATGCTGGATATATTATTAAAATTGCTGGACAATTGTCAGTTGATAGTAGTTCAGATAGATTCATGAAAATGTTTCATGTTTAAATATCTAGCATTATCCAAATGCCTTTGCCTCTTCTATTTTATAATTATATACAATTCTGTTTTGACTACAACTACAACTCTTTTGTTTCCGTTTCGGTCTTCAGGCATTGAAATGGTTGTGTAATATTTGTTATTGGGTCATTGTAATTGTATCCTGATCGTTGCTTGTTCACTTGTTCCAATTCCCACGTAATCTTGACATATTTGAATTGAGTTGTGCTTTCTGCCTTCACTTTTGATCGATTTCGCAGCTCATATTACCACTGCAAATTGTAGCACTCTAAGCTTATCTTTAGCCTTTTGCTTGGCTCAGCCTTGAAACTGGTTGTCGAGCAAAACAGAAAGAAACTATTTTGCTAGTTTAGATCACGCTTATCAAGTAATGCTCCAAAATGGCTGCGTTTGGCGTGAAAATGGACATTATAACAAAACTTGTGATTGATTTCAATTAGCATAACACAAATTCTGAAATGACGCACTATATACATTTATATATATATATATTTTTATATATACACAATCCAAGTATTTACGTGCTTGCGTGTGTATACTACATATTTGTTGGGGCTCTAAAGTGCAATGCAATTGAAAATGAAGCGCTGCTCGGGGATCGGGTGGGAGCAAGGTGAAGGAGCAGCAGGGGGGCATAGATTCAATCCAACAGTGCGACTACTCTTGATCTCCCGATGATGATGATGATGTTGATGATGATGATGATTCTCATGATGATGATGAGCAACGGAAATGCTTTTGTTGCTCTGCATATTTATCATAAAATAAACAGAGTACATATGTATATATGTGAATGTATCTGTATCTGCTTGGATATACATTTAGCAAGTACTGTGCATAGTACACAATTTAATTGCAGTTGCGTTTCTGCGTGTGAGCAATGTAAAAATGAGCTCGAATCGGTGGCGTTTAGCAGACTAAAAGGAAGAAAGAGCAGATACATTTGTACTGCATTCAAAATCAGTCTGCGCAGTCTTATTTATTCCAGGTTACACAAAATATTTGTTTACCACAAATTGTGTGCGTTTGTCTATACATATTTTTCTCTATCGATGCTAATTTATGTGATTGAATTCCGATATTTAAAAATGTTTTTAAATAATGAGAAATCGCTTTTTAAAGTTTATTTTTTCAAACACCCACACATTTAGATGCTGACATACAATTCTACCTATGCCAGCTGTTTAAATAAAGTCAAGTCTTGCAGGTAACTCATATAATATTAGATCAGTCATTGGGATGCTTTCAGATTTATATATTTTGCAAATCTACATATATACATATATGATAGTAAATGAATATGAAAATATGTTCTCAAATCATTTATATGTTTTAAATCTGAGATATTAGTTGTTATAGTTGCATCAAAAGCAGTTATCCATATGAGAAACGAACCCTGCAACATTATCATACTAAAGAATTTTGCCCAGAATCAAAATTTGAACTTGTTTTCATCATTTATTATGTATGAGTTGTCTTCAAAGTTTCCGCATTCTTTTGGAATTTTAAATTGACTTTCCCTCTCTCTCTCTCTGCCTCTCTCTCTCTCTCTCTCTGCCCTCTCCCTCCTCTGCCTCCACTCTCTCTCCCCCTCCCCCCCCCCCCTCCCCCCCCCTCCCCCCCTCTCTCTCTCTCTCTCTCTCTCTCTCTCTCTCTGCATGCCTCTCTGTCCCCCTCTATCTTGAAAATCTCTCCCGAAGTCGCTCTCAATGTTTACTTGAAAACATAATTGAGCATAATTGTGCCCAATACTTCCTTGAAATGTAATACAGACGAGATGATAAATCCGACGAGGCCAATGAGAAATAGCCACGGCGAGATTATCAAGACGCCCAGAAAGAGCAGTGCATCGTCCCCCTTGGCACCGGCCAGGCTCCACAGCAACTTGCGCAGAAGACTGCGCAACTTAAATTTGCAGTGCAGCAGCCGGAAGCTTCGCTGGGTAAGATTGATGCCCAGACGGACGCCATGCACAATTGCACCCGTGGCCAAAATCCCGAACAGCTGCAGCAGCAGAAGCATCCGGTTGAGGAACGTATTCTCGCAGAAGCGTTGCATAGCCGCCTCCATGAGCATCTGTCGCTGTGGCTGCATAGTCGACTTCAAGTACTCGATGCCGCGACGACAACGGGAATCCTTTGGAAAGATGCACGACTCGGAGGTGTGCGAATTTTTGCGGTACTCCGTCTCCAACTCCGAATCCGTGTCGCTCTGATAGTTGCTTCGGTTTTTGTTGCTATTGCTGTAGCTGTAGTTATTATTGTTGTTGTTGTTCTGGTTGTTGTAGTTGTTATTGTTGTTGATGTAGTTGCTGTTGTAGCTGCTACACTGCTGCAGAACGGGCTCCTCCTCAGTGTGGAGACGACGCATTGGCATCATTTGTTGGTCCATATTGTGGTTGTTGTTGCAGTTGTAAGCCATCTGCGGTTGCCATTTACTCGACTCGACCAATTGCATTGGCGACACTATGTCACCCTCGTAGGTGCAGTTGTTGCTGCGGGGAGTTCCGCTGCGCTGACCACGATCCGCATATCTTTTCGATGCGGCGCTGTGTGGATGAATAGTTAAATACCTTCTTCTCCTCCCCAACATCGTGGTCGTTTCACTCACCAGGACATGAACTGTGCCAGAAAGGGCATTTCTTTAAGGGTCTCCGGCTCCTTGAAAGCCGTCGCCTTCAGCTGCTGTAAATTGAGTCCGCCGCCGGTGTAGGGTGAACGTTGTTTCTGCATCATCTGTGCTATTTGTTGGTATTTACCTTACTCTATATATGTGCGGGATCAAAGATCTTTATCGTTTCGAATTTCAGACTATTTTTGATTTCACAATCAGACTGTCTTGTTGTGTTGGAATTTAGCTACGTTTTGAATTGTCTCGTCTCCGTGTAACTTTTATTTTTTTTTCAAAGCCTACTTTAAAACTTTCTTTACTTGAGACTATATTCAAACTTTACAGGTATTATATAATTCTTTCTTGGAAGAATTTGCAGAAAAGCTTGCAAGCAACAAATCTTTCCACAATCCACATTAATAAGTATAATGAACTGTATATATAACGATTATTAAGAACAACTGATTTATTTATTTATTTTTAAAAGCAGTATCACTTTTTATTGCAGTTGTTTACTCGCAATCGTCTCGCTGCCTAAGGCTGAGTCAGAACAATCGGAAGTAGTCCAGAAGTAGTATTCAGTCATAAAGAACTTCTTAAAGCGTATCTGCGCCCCAATTTAATGTGATGCGTTGAGCAGCAGCAACTGTAGAGATTTGAGATTTATGAAAAAAGGAAGTCATTGCCAAATTCATGTTGCGACTAAGCTGGATTGGATTGGGACTGCTAGCATTGCTGGCGAATGCTCAGGACGAGATCACGGCCATTGAAGGACCCGAGGGACCCAATGTCTGCAAAAAGCGTGAAAAGTAAGCAACGAATGAGCCATGAAGAGCATTAAGTGTTCGATATTCATTTTGTTTTACTTTGCAGCTATAATGTGGAGGTTGTCATCACGGAGCTGCAGTCGTTCCAAGAGCGCGGTTCCACTTGGTGCCTGAGCATACCCCCTAGCTGCCCCACCTATCGCATTCGTCATCGGGTCGTGAACAAAACACAATCGCTGACCAAGGCGCGCATTGTGCGCGACTGTTGTGGTAAGTCACATAGTCACATATCTGTCTGTTTACTCCTAAGACTGCTTCTCCCCTTACAGATGGTTACGTGCGCAGTGGCAGCGAGTGCATCCCCCACTGCAGTGAGGCCTGCCAGCACGGCAGATGCATTGCACCCGAGAAGTGCAAGTGCACCGAAGGCTATGGAGGACCCGCCTGCAACATAAGTTCGTTTCAAGTTTGATATGCAATTGCAATATGCACCAAATTTCCTTAGTCTTAGTTCCCTTATGTGTGCTGTGTCAATTACAATGAAACGCCTTGGGTTCAAGGGGCGTGGCTCAAGCAGAGACTCCAAATGAGAGAATTTAAGTCTGTTTGGCCAGTTCCCGAATCTAAACTAATCTGCAGATGCGCTTGCAAAGCATATGTTTAATATTATGTTGTATAATTGTGGAATATAAGTGAACAGCTTTTGATTGATTGACTTCTAGATTGAGACAGATAGATAGTATATAGTTATATATAAACAATTATTTGATATACATGTTTTGTAGAATTGTATCCGATACAGTTTTATGTTTACACAGATTAGAGCGAATGAATGAACACAAGAACACTGGTAAATAAAAAACAAAAAGGCGTAGATAACATTTATTTAAAGAACTTAATGCCTTATAAACTGATTAGGTCAGTTTATAGATTAGATAGCGCTACAATCGATCCATAACAATTACTGACTAATTCATAACTCAGCACGGGTGTTATACTCGTATATGTTTCATGGACAGGAAAACTTTAATGATCCAAAAATAAAAAACACTTATAGAAGGAACTTCAGGCTCGAAGTACTCTTGAAGCATTGTTAAAGAGAGATTTACGAATTAGATTATCGATTACAGACGATTATCAATCTATAACAATTAATGAATAATTTATAGCTCTGCAAGTGTATACAATCTTCGGTACATCGAAGATAATTCGGTTGGCACAATTATATTTTTTGTTTTGTTTACCTCTGTAAACTTTCTGTGATTAATGTTTTAAGTTGCAATGTTTTTAAAAGTACTAACCCATAAACACACACACAGACACGACCTACACTTAACACACACACGCTTCTCAATCAATCAATAATTTAATTAACTGGGCTTCAGACACGCTACAACCAACTCACCTACCCACACAAGGAAAGGCATTTTTCCAACCGCGACTAACTGTATTATAAAACTGTATATAAATGAGAGCACCCTGTGAAAGAAAACTCAACATGCCGAGTTGAAAAATATATATATATATATATGTATATAGATAGTTAAAGCTAACGCAAAAAACTCTTCGTCAGATTGCTCGCCGGGTCTTTATGGCATCGACTGCAAGCTGAAGTGCGATTGTTTGAACAACGCCAGCTGTGAACCTTTCACGGGCGAATGCGAGTGCGCCAAGGGATATGCGGGTGAGAGATGTGCCGAGATCTGTCCACCCGGACAATATGGCGAGAAGTGTGCGGAGTTGTGTCGCTGCGAGAACGGCGGCAGCTGTGATCACATCTCCGGCAAGTGCTCCTGTGCACCCGGCTACACGGGTCCTTTGTAAGTGGACAAGTGAATATCAATAACAATTCTCGAGTCTAACATCCTCCGAACCCACCAACCAAAAATTAGATGTGACATGCGCTGCCCGGATGGCAAGCATGGCGCCCAATGCGAGGAGGACTGTCGCTGCCAGAACGATGGCAAATGTGATCCGCACAACGGCGCGTGCGAATGCACCGCCGGCTGGACGGGCGACGTCTGCGCCAACAAATGCCCCACGGGCAGTCATGGACTCAATTGCGAGCTATCCTGCGAATGCTACAATGATGCACCCTGCCATCATATTACGGGACGCTGCGAGTGCCCACCCGGGTACATGGGCGAGGTGTGCATGGACGAGTGCCCGCTGAACACGTACGGACGCAACTGCACGGAGAGATGCCACTGCGAGAACGATGCGGCCTGCAGTCCCACTGGCAAGTGCGAGTGTGCGCTCGGCTGGCGGGGCGAGCGGTGCGAGGAGCGCATCTGCGAACCGAACAAGTATGGGGCGGACTGCAGCAAGACCTGCGAGTGCGACATGGAGCACACGGATCGGTGCCAGCCGGAGACGGGTCGTTGCGACTGCAGCATCGGCTGGAGCAGTGCCCAGTGCACCCGGCCCTGTGCATTCCTCAAGTACGGCCTGAACTGTGAGCAGAATTGTGATTGTCGCAACGGAGCCAAATGTTCGCCTACCAATGGCACCTGCATCTGTGCGCCTGGGTTCCAGGGTGACAAGTGCGAGCAGAGCTGTCCGACGGGCACCTACGGCCAGGGTTGTGCCTTTCAGTGTGACTGTGAGAATGGCGCCAAGTGTGCGCCGGAGACGGGTCAGTGCCTGTGTGCGCCCGGCTGGCGCAACAACAAATGCGATCGATCCTGTGATCTCAACATGTATGGAGATGGCTGTCGGCACATCTGCGAGTGCGAGAACAACGCCTCCTGCAATCCAATCAACGGGAACTGCACCTGTGCTGCCGGCTGGACTGGCAAGCGTTGTTCGCAGAAGTGTGAACCGAACAGCTTTGGAAACGACTGCAGTCAGCAGTGTCAGTGCGACAAGTACAACACCATTGCCTGTGAGGCGACCACGGGTCGTTGCATCTGCAAGCAGGGCTGGCGAGGTACACAGAATACGCGGGAATATCACTTACCAAACCCACTCATTGTGCTTTGCATAAGACACTCATCGCTCCTAACTCCATTCTCAGACACAACTCCAAACACACACATTCTCTCACAGTTTCAAGTAGAAACGGACGAAACATGCCCTTAAAAGACCCAGCAGCGAAAATTCCCCTTGCGTATTCGATTCGTAATCTATACTTTGTTGATCGTAATCTATACTCAGACCTCAGACTAAACTTGCTGCATTACTTTGTAATGCTGAAAGATTAGTTAGTAACCTTAAATAATGTAACCTCAAATACAGAAAAATGTGTAGTCGACAGTTAAAAAATATAGTAGCCAAAATATACAAAGTTTACTATACATACAATATTATGAATTATGCTAGGATATGTTAAAATTGTGTATATTAACATAGAAATATATTTTAAGTTTCAGGCCACAAAAAAAGTAGAATAAGCAAGAAACCAGTACAAGTAAGAAATATCTATAGAGGAGTATGGTAATGTACTAGGTAATGGATTCCATGCGGTAAAGAGGGGTCATTCACTAGTTCGCTGCTGCTGGGAACAATCTCACACACCTCTCCCACACACTCACACACATTTCCTGCTATCTTTCTCACTTGATTTCACCTCATTTTTTGCATTTGTTTGTTTGTGTTATGTTTCTATTTAATCTTAATTTGTGTTTCTTGTTTTGCACTCGTTTTTTTTTTTGTTTACTTTATTCCTTGTGACCCAAAATGAAAAAAACAAAACGAACCCAAGGCGTTCATTGTGAGACGAACTGTCCCAGCGGTTACTATGGTGAAAATTGCGATAAAGTTTGCAGATGCCTGAACAACTCATCGTGCGACTCCGAATCGGGCGACTGCATCTGTGCGCCCGGCTGGACCGGCGAGGACTGCTCCGAGCCCTGTTCCGATGGCTTTTATGGTATGGAGTGCAAGGAGCGCTGTCCGGAGAGCCTTCACGGTAAGCAAACAGCATTTGTAAATCTCGATTCGGTAAATCTAAATCTGAATCTAATCTTTAAATCGTTCTGTGAAGGCAATGCCACATGTGACCATATAACGGGTGAGGTTTTGTGTCGACCCGGCTATTTGGGGCGCACCTGCGAGCATGCCTGCAAGCCGGGAATGTATGGACCCAACTGCCAGCTGAAGTGCAGCTGTGAGCATGCCGGCGAGTGCAATCATGAGAACGGCCACTGCATCTGCCTGCCCGGTTGGACGGGCGCCAATTGCAATCAGTCGTGTCCGCAGGACACCTACGGCCAGGGCTGCACGCAACGGTGTCGCTGCCAGCATCATCGCACCTGCCGCAAGAACGATGGCCACTGCATCTGTTTGCCCGGCTGGATGGGTGATCAGTGCAATTACATTTGCCCCGAGGGCTTCTATGGCGAATACTGTATGAATCCCTGCGCGTGTCCCTCCTCCAATTTTCAGTGCCATGCAGCCGAGGGTTGCGTCTGTCGCAGCGGCTACACCGGCGCCAATTGCGACGAGCTAATCGCTATGCAGCGCATTGCGGAGCACGTAGAATGTAGGTAGCACTGACTATCAAATCCATAGATCCCTTATTGAGTTTTCTTCTACTCTACTCAGCGAATAATGCGAGTGTTGCTTGGAGTATGGCACTGCTGACGCTGTGCGCCGCCATCATTTGCGCTGTGTTCCTCTACTATCGGCGGCGTGTGTCCAATCTAAAGACAGAGATCGCCCATGTCCACTACACGCATGATACGAACGGAACAACCGCCTGGCCACCAGCCAATCACAACTTTGATAATCCCGTCTATGGCATGCAGGCGGAAACGCGACTCTTGTCCAACCACCTGCGACCCAAGATGAACAACTTCAACCAGAATGGCTCGGTGTGCACCGAGTATGGCGATGATTCGAATGCCAGCAGCAGAGGTACGCCTGGCCGTCTGTGCTGCACCTTAACTGGTTTCGTCAACTAAATTCTTTACTTTTTTACCACAGTGGGCAGCTATTCGATCAACTACAACCATGAACTGCTGAACAAGAATATGAATGCTGATCTCACCAATCCGAATGTGTACAATGCCATTGGCGATCCACTCAAGGAGGAGCATGTCTACGATGAGATAAAGCAGAAGGAGGGCTACAAAGATCCCGGTAAGTTCAGCTTAAATCCGCCTATTTCAAATTGTATTAACAATTATATTGCAATATATCTATCTATATATATACATTCCCATTCACAATGCACACACATTTGTCATAAAACAGTGAAAATTTATAGCAAAATATTGTTTCCGGAGGGTAAGCAATAATTGTCGAGTGTCTGTTGTAGCTTGTTATCACAGTGCATTCTCCATCTGTTATGTGTCAACTGCTTCAAATAATCGTCTAATAATAATAAATTCTCTTGCCTTTTACTCCATCAAACTAGATGAATATGATCATCTGGACTACTCAAGGCCGAGCACCTCGCAGAAGCCGCATTATCATCGCATGAACGACACAATGCTAAATATCAACCATGACGAGGAGAAGCCCAGCAATGTGAAGAATAGCATGACGGTGCTGCTGGACAAGAAGCCGGCGCCACCAACGGAACCGGAGCCACAGCATGAGAGTTTCGACAATACCAATTTGGATAATGCCTCAACAGTATCGCCCAGCTCCAGTCCGGAGCTGCGGAAATAAGCGACATCCAAGATCGTCAGTCGTCTACTCTTACAATAGATGATATTTTAATGTGTCTGTATTTTGTGTAAACGATTTAGCAATATTTATTATTTAGAATATTCGTTGTAGAATTTGTGTAGCAATTGTGTCCTGTAATTGTTAGCATTTCTCATGTGTACAACGCATTTTTGCTCAACTATTGTAAATGTTTTTACTTCAGGGCCCTTTACAACCCAACTTGTTTCAAAAAGATATGGTCCCCTCTTTTGTAAATGTTTCGTTCTAAATTTTAATCACGATTTTGCTCATCAGATATACACACACAAACATAAGCATGCATGCATCTTATTGTCAAGCCATGGCATACATATAAATATATAAGTACCTAAACACCTCTTCCTTTTGAGAAACGTATTGTGCTGTTGTTTGATTGTATAAAAGAATTGTTACCTTTAGTCAATAATTGCAATAATTTTAAATACCACAGTGCATGCATATTTCTAAAAAACGAACTACATATACATACATCTATTCATATCAGATATTTTAGCATATGATATTTATATTTTAATAAGCAATACATTTGTATAACAAAAAAAAAAACAAAACAATTAAAGTTGCCAAGAATTGAATGAAAATAAGTCAAATTTTAGTAGTAGTCGTAAAACAATTGTATTTTGAATAACTCAAAAAGAATTGGTCAACATTTTATATAACATCGACGTTTAGAACAAATATTTCCGTAACTTATATTAATGGTAATTTGTTTACGTAAAGATTTGCCTTTGAAAGGCAATAATTCAATAAACAATGCATTATCGTGCCTAACGGAAATGTTTTTAAATACGCGATAGTTGGCGCCAATCGGCGATAGACGTGATTGGCAGCACTTGCCAATCGGTAACTGACTTGGCAACACAGGCAGCCGCTTGCGCTGGGCAGCACTTTTTGCGCGAGAAAATATGCTGCAGTTTTTGTATACATTTTAATGCAAACACCTGCTGCTGATTTCTGTAGACAAGTAGTTTTTGGGAGCTGGTCTTGCTGCTAACGACGACTGTCCCAAATGCACCTATCGCCTGTAATTGACAGATTTGATTGTTTGCCCCGCACTAAGGGAAAGCTATCGAGCAGAGCGGTTAATTTGATTTAATACGTTTATTTATTTAAATTATGTAGTAGAAGCATCAAGTACAATAATTGTATAAATAGTTTCGTTTTCCATGTGTCCTTGTGTATTGTAGATGTGTGTGTGTGTGTTTTTGAATGTGTGTGTGTCTTTGATTTATGTTGCAAGTATGCTAATGCTAAATAAATACATATAACATATACATATACATATACACCCATAGCACAGATTACATCTATGTAGATTCTAGAAGCGTACGCATACAATTAAAATTAGTTCAAATAAAATTACACATGATATATTGCTACTTAGTGGGATAGATCTTATGAGGAGGGGGGCTGGCTAATACGCATGACTTTTCATTTGTTTTGGGTTGTGAGCCTTGTGAGCCTGGTCAGTCTGTTGTTGCTGTGGTTGTTGTCGTTGTGGTTGTGGTTGCTTACAGATAGCCATGGCCGGCCACCTCGGCTGGTATGAAGCCCTCGCGTCCGTCTCGCGTCTTCACATAGAACCATTGGCGCTGATCCTTGGACTCGCGGCACTCGCAGAGCGTCACAATTTCGCCCTTGTGGACGCAAATGCTCTCCGTGATGTAGTCCGCATTGATGGCGACTAGAGTTTGACGCAGTCCACTCTGCTGTTGCCGCCGCAGCACGCTCAACTGTTGCTGCTGCTGTTGCTGCTGCTGCTGCTGCTGCTGTGGAATGCTCTTTGGATGCAGATGCTGGCCATTGTGGCCATTGGTGATGTATGAAACATTGGAGAGACGCCGCACCGACTGTGAAGACTGTGAGTGAAGATGCTTCTGCTCCTGCTTCGTTGTCGTCCTCTGTTGCAGCGTGACATATTCATCATTGGAAGCGCTGCGCACAGAGGCAGACCCAGAACCCAGCTGCTTGGTGGATCTCAGTTGTGCATAGGCCTTCTCCACGAGCTTGGGCTGGGAGGCGGCACGTAGATATAATTTATCCACATGCTGCTCCCCATACAAGGAACCCACATGACTCTTGCTGCAGTGGTTGTTGTTGTTGTTGTTGTTCGGCTCCTCGGTTGCGCCTGCTGCGCCAGCTGCTGGCTTTGAGCTGCTGCTGCGCGGAGTGCGTGCGCCGTCGGAACGTGTGCCGCCACGCAGGCGTATCTCCTTCTCGGAGTCGGTCATGTTGCCGCAGGGACGCGGAAAGATGTCCGCATTTGATTCCCAGCAGGGTGTCGGCTTGGAGCCGCGTGCCGCCGATGGAAGAATCCCTAGGGGCAGACAACACGCATAGCCCACATAGCCCTCCTCCGCGTGCGGCGTCTGCACATACAGCCAGTTCTGATTCTTGAACACCGCATTGACGACCATTCCCAGGGGCAGGGGAATCTCCAGCTGATAGCCGCCGGGGCGTGTCTGATACAATGTGGTCGCCGTGGCCAGCACAACGGGTATATTACCGGGTGCAGCCAGCGAGCAGCGCGACAGAAACTCATCCACGTTTTGGATCTCGTAGCCGAAACGCTGGACCCGATTGCGTTCTCGCTCGCGACGCTTGCGATGCCGATGGCGACGCTGTTGTTGTGGCGCAATTCCAACGCCTCCTCCCTCTGAGACGGCGACCAGACTGGGCTCCGAGTAGGTGCACTTCAGCGCATCCCCCGGCGCAGCTGTGGAAGTGGAACGCTGCTGGCTCAGTTGCAGCTGCCGCGGCTCAGCAGCAACAGTAGCAGCCGTGGCCAAGGTGGTGGAGGAGGAGGCGGCAGCTGCAGCGGATCGTGCCTGCTGCAAGCGATTCGCCAGCTTCTTTCTAATCTCGTTGCGTTTACGGGCGAGGAGCAGCGCCTCACTCTGCATATCGCCACCCCTGGGTGCCCGCTGTGGGGTGCAGACAAACAACAACTCTTTGGTGGAGGCGGCGGCCACTGGAGCACCGCCAATGGGTGTGCTCCGCGTCGCCTTATCCTTGTAGTCTAGCAGATTCTGATTGCTGAAGAACTTCTGGTTCGACAAGTGCCCATTGCTGGGTGCCTGATGAGCGGTGGGCGTGGTCGCATAACCATTTAACGGCTCCGTTCCGCCCGGCAACTGATGCTTGACCCGATAACGTTTTTTGGTCACGTCCAGCTGCGTGGGCACCGGATCAGTGCGTCGAATGCTCTCAGTGGTTCGTGTACCCTGAATAGTGTGTCCATTGCTTAGCTTTAGCGGCTCCTTCTCCTGCGACTCATCCGCATCATTTTGGACCGGGGCGGGCTGTGACGGCGTCGTTGGCTGCTGGTTGTGCTCGCGGAGCACCCAGGTCAGTGAGATGCGCGGGCGTCGCAGGCTCAGGTTCTGACCCATCGCAACTAGACACTCGTCCAGGTCTACAGCATGCTGCAGCAATTGTGGTGTGCTCTTGGCTCGCGGCACAGCACAGCCTAGCGGCAACAGCTCATCAATCTCCACATAATCTGAGCTGTACTCAACGCTGCCCCTCCGCTGCTCTCCAACCACCACTCCCACCTCCGGGGCCTGGGCCTCTGTTGGCGGCGGTGGTGTGGCCGTAAAGTTGCCAACGGAACTGTCACTGCTGCCGGGTTGCTGTTGGTGCAGTATCAATGAGCAGGCATGCAACAGGTCCGGACAATAAGCATCTACAACAGAGATAGACAGGGAGAGGAAGAGAGACAGGAAGAGAGAGAAGAAGTACAATTTCTGATGTTAAATACCGGATATTAATAAAATAAATTGTATCGATTTTCTTGTATAATTCTTTGGCCACTTGTTGAATGCCACAAATAAATTCGGTAACCTTCCCCATTCCATTTAACTTACCCCTCAGCCCTTGGCTTGAGCTGCGTCTGCGTCGACGATGGCGTCTGAGTGAGCTGCCTAAATTGCAGTCGCTGGCGCTGCTCTGCTCGCTGCTGCTGCTGCTGTTGGTGCTGGATGCAAATCCTTGCTGCAGCTGATGTTGCTGCTGCAGTTGTTGCTGCTGCTGTTGCTGGAGTTCACGTAGACGACGTCGGCGTCGCGCTTGTTGTCGTGCTGCTGTTGCTGCTGTTGCTGATGCAACTGCTGCGACTGCATGCTCTGCCGCTGGCTGCTGTTGCCGCTGCTGCTGCTGCTGCTGCTGCGGCGCTGGTGGCGCTACTCGTTCCGTATATCCCGGCGGCGGCGTCAACGGCAGCGGGCAGTAAAAGGGGGGTGGCGGTGATCTCGATCGGTGATTTGAATCCACGCCAGGTGCTTCTAAAACGTAATCGTTTGGCGGCGCCTGTTGCAACTCTAGCGTGCAGCAGCTTCTAGGCGTCGGAGCAGCAGCTTCGCCAGCGTCAGCGTCGCCAGCATGTCGACGATAAGTGGGCGGTGCCGAGGCAGCAGCTGCGTTTTGGGAAGAGTTCGTAAAATATGTGAGTATATCAAAAATTAATGAGCTGCTTGCTTGGCAAAATTCTGCTCTGGCGGCTTATAAAAATTCCAATTAATTCCCATTTTTCCCAGTCGGCAATAAAGGCCACTGAGCACAGCGACAACAAAAAGCAGGTAAGATTGCTCTCCAGACAAGGTGTATCGACTAGGAGATGCCCTGCATACAATTACTTTAATCTACAAACGTCCATGGTTATTCCTACATCATTTTATAAAACAAAAATATTTGACATAATCCGCATTTTTTGTATATAGTATATATGCAATTATTAATCTCATTTGATAACTATATAAATAAATTAATTAAAAATTGAGGGTTTGTTTATCGAAACTTGACTTGATTTTGGAAGCGAAAAACTGAAATTAAATTGATCTACACTTGATTATAAGATCCCCAAACTTGACTCGATCGACCAACTCCTCGTCACTTAAATCTCTTAAATCTCTTATCAACTTTATCATACCCCTTTTGAGTGATTCTCGTAGGTGCAGGGTATCGCAGCAACTGCAATTCCACACAGCCAACAGACACCCCCACAAGGAATATTTAAAATATTTGCCAATATAAACGTCAACCTTTGAGCTGTGTTTCGCTGGCCACAAGGCACTCAAGACCACAAGAGCCAAGTCTCAAGTCTGTCGAGCCACAGTTTGTGGCCACATTTAAAGGCGTTATCAAGGCCAAGATCAGCGCAAGCTGCGAAATGGCAAAGGCAAAGACCAAGCAACAACGGCAACAACAGCAACAACAGCAGCAGCAGCACCACCAGCAGCAGCAGTAGATACGTAAGAAGCGTGGCCAATAAAATTCCAAAACTGATATGCTCAATGGCAACAACGTGCCACAAGTGAGTAGTAAAATGTTAAAACGTGACGGTATTTCACAAAAATACCAAAATATTGCCTGAGATTCTCCTCAAACTGCCAACAAACTCTTCCTTCCCCCCTCTCCATCTCTCTCTCTCTCTCTCTCTTTTCTATCGTTGCATCTCTTTCTTTATAGATGAGCACATTTGCACAACGTTCAAAAAAGAGAAGCTGATATCAATTTCAACTGTGACCTGTTGATCCTTTAATACTCTGCTTATAATTTATTTAGCTGATCAGATTTTTTAACTAAGATTAGATATTATTATTAGATAAAGTGTAGCATATTATTATTATTATGACATTTATCATAATATATATGTTGTTATTTATTAATTGAAGTCTTTGGCATTCATTGCAATCGTATTCTAGAAGTTCTGCTTTAATAGCATTTTTGCAAAAGACTTTTATAAACAGATTTAAATCTCTGACTTTTTCAAAGATTGTGGATTTCGCTCAGGGGTATTTGCTCAACCAGAATTCCACTCAAAATTTTAGATTAGCTGAAAATTGTAATTGGCTTCTGCTCAAGATATTCGAATGGAGAATTTGCGCCGATTCAACACAGATTATAAATGGATAGTATGTTAATGGAAAGCCACTTTCTATTTAAGCAACACTTTATTTCTGTGCATAAAAAGCTATTTCAGCTTGCAAGTTTTTAAAGCGTTCCACTAAACTGGCCAAGCATAAATGAGTTATAAACTTCAACTTTACTGATTAACGCGATAAGCGAAATGAAAATGTTGCAAACTGATTTACACAGCGAATATAGCCCGGGCACAATCATATGCAACATAAGTTTGGCCCGAAGAAGGCGCAGAAAGGACAATAGCCCTGAGGCGCAGAGCTGATGCCAGCAGCCAGCAGCACTAGCTTTAACGACCTTTACAAGCCGGGCGGCACTGACTGTCAGTCTCAGAGTCAGTCTCAGAGTCAAAGTCAAAGTCAGAGTTGCAGTTGAGGTTGAGGTTGGAGTCAGTCAGTCAGCAGAGTAGAAAGAAGAGAGCTAATCAAAAAAGAGGCTGCAGCAAGCAAGCAGCAAGCGAAGATCGTGCGAGGATTACATTGGGGGTGTGACGACAGCAGACCAACTGGAACAGCGTGAGTGAGGGAGGAGGGAGAGGAGGCAACAGCCATTCAGAGATCGTGAGGCAGCGGCCTTTAATGGCCACGACGTGAGCATTGTGCGCGTTCTGAGCGTTTGGGCGTGGCACGACAAGAAATTGAAAGTGTTGCACAGCAAAATGCAACCAAATTGTTGCTGTTTGCTGTTGCTGTTGCTGTTGGTGTCGCCGTTACCCTCTAATTAAACGGAGACGGGCCTGCCAAATTAGCTAATGACGAGTGTTGCACGTTGCACAGCAATAGCAAAAAAGCAAAAACAAAACAAGCGCAACCAAAGCGAGCAACGCAAAACGTTGGCGGCGCCCCACAAATGGTCAAAACATTGACAAATTTGTTTTGCAACTTGTTTTGCTGGCCTGGTCAACTGGCAAATATGGTGAGAGCAAACATGGCCACTGGGGCATTGCCGTCGGCAAAAAGGCTTTGTGACCAAGTGGACGACTCGACTGGCTAGTTGACTGGTTGTTGTTTTGCCGCCGTCGATAATAATTCAATCGAGAAAATGTCGAAGCGTGCAAATGGCCAACATGTGGCATAAAAGGCGTTTGGAATTGATTGGAGCTGCATGTGATTAGCCGGCTGAGTGTCAGACGATCTGGGACTCAACTGAGAAAGCCAACTGCGACGGAGACCGAGACTGCCACTTAGACTGCGACTGAGTCTGAGTCTGAGCAAGAGTGAGTCTGTTTGAACTCCAGAAATCTGAACTCAACTCGAGTTGAGCTGTCCCAATTGAACTTAACTTGGCCAACAACAATTGCGAGATTCCCTCGCGCTAATAAGATAAAAGCATTTTAATTGCAACTAAACATGGCAAACAACGTCAACTGGACATGGACAGGCAACACCAGCAGCCCCTCCCCTCCTCACCCCTCCAGATTCCAGCTGAGTGTTAAAGCCGTTTTAATGCTGTAGGCCAAACAACTGTAAAATTGCTAAAAGCGTAACGGTCAACAGAGCGCTATCTAATACAATATCAATCTGAAATACTTGAGATTAAATAAGAGATGCTCTCCCTTTCTATAGCTCCCCTCTCTCTCTCTCTCTCTGTCTGTCTGTCTCCCTCTCGCATCTGTTGCCCGCTGAGTAAATTAAAATGCTGGCAAGTCACATCAAAAAAACAAATAAAAAAAAAAACTTTAATGGCCATAAAAATAAGACTACGTCCAATAAAAGCCAACATAAAGTTGCTTGTTTGTCAGTTTGTCAGACTGCGTGAGATTGTGAATAGGTGGCCCTGCCACAAAATCCTTGTTGACATGAGCCAACAACCAACTTGGTCAAGACAAGCATAATCCCCTCCCCCGCCCCAACACACACTAACAAGCCTCCATCAACAGTCGCAGAGCGCCATCAAATGTGCAAATTTATGCACAAAATAATTTACACAAATTTCAGTTTTTTAGCTTTTCAATTAGCACGCATCATGTTACCACAGCAACCACCAGGGAGGAGGGAAGGGGAGGAGCTGGAGCGGCTTAAGCCAATTTTTATGCGCTTTTAATGTGCTGCTGCTGCTGCTGCGTTTTGGGTGGCCAAGAGACAGACATTATATCACAGTTTTGGAATAGGTGCGATTTCCCCAATGCGATCGAAAATCAATTTGCATTTTTATTGTCTTGATTTGAAGACCCGGCGTTAAGGAAGCTGCTAACCAGCTTACTAACTTTAAGAGGGGTGGGTTGGGATATAGCCAGGTAGATAGACCATGCGGCTTACTGGCCATGGCAATAAAAATAAAATTTAAACGTTGCCTTGTGTGGCATTTCGTTTGGCTTGGTTCGTTTGGTGCGTGTGTTGTTTTAAGCGCTTTTAAATATTTATGGGCCCATTTGTGTGTTGGCCAACAAGCAAACAAAAATTATGATTTTATGACGTTAATAAATTTAAATGTTGTGGGTTAAAGGTTTCTTTGCTGGCCCTTAGCGTGGCTAACTCGCCTCTGCCTAGAAAGTTAGTCGGCGAGTTTTCCCCCCAAATGAATTTTACGAGAGAATTTTTCAAAATTAATGTGCCAGGCGTTAAGTTAAGTTAAGTTACGTTAAGTTAAGGAGAGCTGTCATTATTTAATAAAATTAACGGTATTAATTAAGCTAATGGGCCAGTTAAGACCATAAAATTTATGCCACAAGTTAAACGCTTTAATTTGCGACAAGGTCATAAACCAGAACAGAATATATTTGATTACTAAATCAGTTAAATTTATAAATTCATAATAGTTTTGATAAAGGCAAACATTTTAGGTGTAGTTCATTAAAGAGCCTGCTTAAAGTTGAAACCACTCCACGGCCATAATGGCCCTGATGTCAAACAGAAACTGTCTTTGCCTTTTGTTGGCCAAAAACCGCCAAATGCAAAATGTTAGAGGGGATCACAAGGGGAGCACAAGTAGAAGACGAGAGTTGCGAGCTGGCAAGTGCGTATTTAAAGCTCAATGACCAACTTGGAGGACTCCACTCGGCTAGGCACCACTTGGCCCCACTCCTTGCCACTCCGTGTACATATGGTCGATTGCTGGCCAAGGAGGCAGGCAGACC